CGTCGTGATGCAATAGATAAACACACTGTACCACTAAGAGTTTAAGTTAGTCACCATTGGATAGATAAGAAATGAGGTTTCTTCTTTTGAACTGCCAGCGTTTGCTGCTCGTGCGCCGCGTAATTGGCTATCTGTACTCGTGCGTACTTCGGCTTTTTAAAAAAAAAAAACCGTTGCCGTATATGCAAGAGAGTGACAAACCTTAGTTGCCTTTACTGTGGGAATATTTGTAAATGAGCTGCTGCAAGGTGATGGTGGTTGGGGGGGAGGGAGGGCGATGAGTGCTGTAGCTGCAGCAACAGCGTCAGAAGACCGCTTCATATACGTATTCCTCAGCAGCATTCCATGCAACCACACATTTCTAAGGATTTTTTAATTTATTTCGGGGTATAAAGTTTGTTTTTTTGACTCGAAAACGAAACATATTCCAGTTAGCAAAAGGGGGGGATAGGCGGGGCCCCTCATATCCTCGTTCTTTTTGTGGTCGTAGGCCCCGCTGATCCTCCCCCCCTGTTTACAGCTTGAATATGTTTTGTTTTGGAGTCAAAGAAAAGACCCCTTACACCCCGAAATAAAGAAAAACACCTTTAGAAATGTGTGTTTTCGGGGAATGCTACGGATATATATATATACGTATATGCATACAGTGCAAACGCACAAATAGGAAAAGAGGAAAGCTGATGATAGAACAGAGGCGTGCTTCAGCAGGCTTCCGTCTCAAATGCTAGTAAGCGCAGAATACCTGTCTAGACACTTGAACTACAGAAACAAACTACGAGAGGGCCTTTGCTTGTGGTGCAATGCTTCAGTTTTCAAAAAGATGAATTGACAGAGTTATAGAAGTTCGTAGGTTACCGGCTGCTCATGTGCTGCGTGCACCTGTCAGGGTGCGGGAATACGACGATAAACTAGCGAAAGAAAGCGCAAATAAATACATTTAAATAATTAAAAAGGCGACGACAAGCGGAATATGTTTCAGAAAAGGAATGCAACAAGCCTCTTAGCTGCTGATCCTCCTCCTTCTGTTCANACAAGCGGAATATGTTTCAGAAAAGGAATGCAACAAGCCTCTTAGCTGCTGATCCTCCTCCTTCTGTTCATGTTTTCTCTCTGCGCTGCTCTCTCTGGCGGGCAGCCAGCAACAGTGCGGCAGAAGATATTGGGTATTTAGCATTCAATGCAGCAAAAATTCACAGCAATTTCTACAAATAATAAACATATTTATTTTTTTTAATGAATAAGTGCTTGGTTTAGGGTGTATTCAGTATACTATAGTGCAGCAGTAAACACTTGAACCAGCCTCTGTGTTTCCTAGCCGTTAATTTTTGCGACGCATTTCGCATTCCAGCATCGTTTTCACTCTTTTGTTTGCATTAAACATGAAATATATTTATTAATTTTACTGTTAAGAAAAGAGAATAGATGAACGCATCCGTGCTGACCTTGAGTTGCACTGTTGCGGGTTTCATCTCGTTCTGCCTTCGGTGTTGCAGGAGCTGCAGGAGGGGGAGGGGTGAGGCGTGTATATAACTGNTGAAACACTTTCTTTGCTGCACTGTTTCGCCGGTCTGCCCGCCTGAGGGACCGGTGGCCTCATGGGAGGGAGAGGAATCTCTGGTGCCTTGGGTTTGTGGTGATATATGGAGCTCGAAATACACTCAAAATGAGTGCAGAAATTTTGCAGAAATAATTAAAAGTATTTATTTTAATTTAATTTGATATTTTAAACAACAGAAACCAACAGCAGCTCCGATGAAAAAGAGAAGAGCCGCGACGCCGTCGTGGGAACGGACTGCTGGCTGTGCTGCCTCCGCCGCGTCTCCCCGCATCAGTTTCTCGCTTAACAAATGCATATTTTTCTTGTTTTTGCATGAATAAAAACAAATAATAAATACATGATTCTTCAGAATTTATATTATTCAAATCAAAGGAGTGTATTGAATACAAGACCTCCTCCTTCTTTTCCTTCTGTCGCGTATTTCGGCAGTGGTTGCGAGCCTCATCACCACCCAGCGTAAGCGAACTTCTCTGCGGCAAAATATCTTTATTATTATAATTATATTTGTTCAAATTACAATTCCCTCACTGCGAGAGAAAGCTGTTTCCTCACCGGCAGCAAACGATCCTCCCCTGAGCCACCCACCCGCCTCAGCAGCAGTACTGGCCTGGCGGTGACGGAGCAGCAGCAGCAGCAGCAGCAGCAGCAGAAGCAGCAGCAGCAGCAACAGCAGCAGCAGCAGCAGCAGAAGCAGGAAGAAAAACAAGCAAGCATCAATAAAACAACCGGGTGTACAATGAGATATTCTTTTGTATCTTCCTCTTCTTTGTCCGTGTCTCGTTAACCCAAGTCGATATTTGCATCCTTTTTTCCTTTTTTTTTTTTTTTTTTTTTTTTTTTTTTTTTTTTTTTTTT